TGAGTAAATGTCACACTAACATGTCCCCTGTTGTTAACAGAGGTTTCTGTCCTGCCCCATCCCACAGCTGCTCAGTCCCAAAGAAACACACAGAGTTCTACATTAATTATAAACTGGTTGGTCTATTAGCTCAGGCTTCTTATTAACTCACTCTTACATCTTAAATTAGCCCATAATTCTTGTCTGTGTTAGCCAGGTGGGTTAGTACCTTTTATCAATGAGGCATTCTCATCTTGCTTTCTCTATGTCTGGGTGACAACTGTAGACTGAGCCTTTCCTCTTCCTAGAATTCTTCTGTTCTTGTCGCCCCCCACCTATACTTCCTGTCTGGCTACTAGCCAATCAGCATTTTATTAAAATACAAGTAACAAATCTTTACAGGGTACCAGACCATTGTCCCACAGCACCCTGCAGAGAAAAATTTTCCTAGACACCAGTTGTCTCAGAGCCCGGATCACTCTAATGGGGTTTCTGCCCTCCCTCCTGTCTCTTCTCTCACCCAAATATAGACACCGCAGCTGCTCCGTACAGGGGACACTGTAAGTGTGAAAAACTAAAAACAGCATAGACAGCCATTACAAATTATGTGGTCAATAGATTTTTTTTCTACGTATTTCCAAAATCAAGGGGCAGAGGACTATGCCCACAGGAAATTGGTAGTTGAAAAACCAAAGGGAGTTGGGGTGATGGCTCGGTTAAGGGCCTGCTGTACAAACATGAGGACCTGGATTTGTTTCCATTGTGAAGTTTAGCTGGCCTTCGGCTGGGGTGAACGCAGAGACTGGAGGATCACTGGGGTTTGATGGGAGCCAGCCTGCACTTCATGCCATTTCACGGCTGTGAGTGATTTTTGAATTCAGAGTTGTGCTTTTGGTTTCCCTGTGGTGATGACAGGCTGCTGCATCAGCTCGGCTTTTTATACTGCCTATGTCAAGAAAGAAACTCTCCAGAGGACCAAGTAAAAAGCAAGGCACGTCAGCTTCTAAAGAATCTCCATCTTTATTTTACAGTTGTACCGTACACATGCCAGCACACAGGAGGCACATACAAACAAACACACCGTCTCTACGCTCCAGAGTCCCGTGGCAATAAATAAGCAGGGGCGGGTGCTTTTTTTTTCTTTTTTTTCCAGGAAAATGCAACTTTATTTCTTTTTAACTGTACAAAATTTACACCGTGGAAGGTTGGGGGCAAGACTCCAAAGCTAGGAGATCTAGGGCTTTGAGGTCTGAGTGTGACCTCAGAGTGGCATCTGAAGTCCCAGGGCCCAGAACCTGCTCCTTAGGCCTAATACAGTCCTCACACGGGAAGGTCCAGTGTGATCCCTGCTGTAGGTGGCCACAGGTGGGAGAGGTGGCCTTGCTCAGTCCACCTGTGCTCTGCCTCACTAAGCAAAGGAACGCTTGGCGCCCCTCCCACACCTGCAGCTATCTCTCCACCAGAGCTAGCAGCAGGCATCTGTGCTTTTAGTGTGGTTCTACCAAGCAGAGTGGGGATGGGGTGGCTTTGCTGAGCTCTCTCTTTTTGGCTCCAGTCACTGTTAGAGCAGTTGGAGCAAATACTGCAGGAAAAAAAAAGGGGGATGATGGGCACTTGACCAATCCAAGAAAGAGAGAGCCAGTGATGTGCTTTTATTTAGCTTCAGCATGCCCAGAGCCCTTCAGCAGCAGGCAATAAAACAAAACTCATTTCCGCTTAATTGAATTTTTCTTCGTCTCACCGTTTCCAGTTTTTAAAGTGCACCGCTTAAAACTGAATCTCCAGACCCTGCTGACTGAGGAGGCGTGGTCCTCGTTCCTGCAGTGAGAGCTAAGGTGTCAGTAGTAGGGAGTGGGAGGGGCTCTGAGGATGCAGGATGGTGGGCAGCCACACAATACAGTTCAGAAGCCTGAACCTCCCTGCCAAGAGGCCCCTTGGTCACCAGCTCACCAGCTGGGAGCTTCAGACGTGGTAATTGGCTTTTGGTCTACAGATTTTTTTTATATATATATATATATGTCCTTAATGAAGAAGCACTAACAGTCCCAGTTACCTTATAGATTTAATGTTTTATGACGGCACAGGATCTCTTTCAGGCCACTGCCCAGTGCTTTGCCCGGGTCTTAATTTTGTTCTTTCCATGGTTTTTCTGTGTTAATTTATGGGAGCAATTTTCTCAATATAATGCAGTAACTGGCAGAAGAGGCAAGGCCTGAGAGAAATGTGCCTGCTCCCCCATAGCCCTTCAGCGAGAGGTTCTGCCCCGCTGGCCAGCAGGTCTCGGGTTGATGTTTCCTCTATGGCTTTGTCACTCTGTTCCCACCATTGCTTAGGCCACTTGCCACTGGAAACAGGGTTGTTTGCTTTTACTTAATTTTTAAATTTGCTCTAGGGTTCAGAAGTCTGCTGGATGCATTCTGACGTAGGTGTCAATCAAATGTTCGCTTAGAGGCAAAGCCGGGCCCAGATACTGTGCATGCCTCTAGAAGCTTACCCTTCATGTTTTCAAATCCTCTTTGCCCTGGACGAGGAGGGAAAGAGCCAGCAGAGGGTTACTGGTACCCTAGTGTGGACATCTCATAAGGAAGCATCCTGTTCTCCATCTTGAACCACAGGCAAGTCAAAGAACAGTCTTAGTGTGAAGTGCCCATTGGGACACCAGCACAGCTGTAATTTGAACAGAATTTGCAGGGAGATCCACTTAAAATCTGAGGCCCGTTGTGCCTGTGCTTCTAAATGGACTCTTAGAGTGTGCTGCCCTCTAGGGAGCCAGCTCTGAACAGGACTTAAAAAAGCCTCTGAGCCTTCCTAGCCGGTGCTCTCCTAAGAGCCCTTCCAGCTCAATGCTCCCTCAAAAAAAACCACCCAAGAAGCTTCTACCAACATCACTATGTCAGTATGGGTGATAACAGCTTCCTGCTCTCTTATTACTGAGTTGAGAGTATTATTAACTCACTTTCAAAACCAAAAACCAATTAACTTCAGTCTTCAACAGTGCTCTATAGAATGTTCAAAACCACAAACCATGAGACACTAACCAGCAGTCAAGCTGAGGCTGTGGCCTAGCTAGGGCAGCATTTCAGCTAGATTGCCCAGCCTGGCTTTGTTTGTACGTTATGGACAGTCTGCTGAGGATGAGGTATTTAAGAAAGGGGTCTTCACACCGATGTCTGCCCTTTCTTTCACATGGCATATTGTCTTGCATCTGTGTCTCTATCATTACCCCATCATCCACATTGTCGGGGAATTCCAGTAGCACTGACGAGCATCATCACCGGTAGACGTGAGAGCTCAAGAAAGCGAAAGCGACTATGTTTGCACTCTCCAGAGCCAAGCCAGCCAGCTATAGCTGGCCCACCAAAATGCCACTACAGAACTGACCAGAGAACTGTTTCTTTAAGGAAGCTTAACTGAACTCAGCTTTGAAAGAGGCTTGCAGGAAGGCCAGCAGCCAAAGAGGAGATGTGTTCCTCCCTTTCATCTCCTTAACCACATACCTGAATCCTCAAATATGGCCGACAGAAAGAGGGGCCCCTGGGCCTCTGGTCTCAACACTTCATGTAACAGAAAGGCCATGCTGTGAAGCCAGAAGAAATAAACCAGCTTCCTGAGGGGGTGGGGGATTCCAGCTGGCTAACTTCCTAGGAACTTTGAACATGGAGCACTTCCTTGATGGCCAGAAGTGGGTCACACCAGTGGTAGTTGCCACCAGTCATGGCCGTGTCTACCACAGAGGAACAACCTCTCTCAGATGACAGATTGAGAGCCAGGCTGGCCTCGCCCCTATTGCAGGCTTCGTAAAATACTACTGCAAACCTTGCAGGCAGAGAATCCCTCCGCTGTGGCTGGCCAGAGAGCTGGGACTCTCTCGGTGTGGGACTGAAGCCTGCAGCGTGGCGCAAGTCCAGCCAGCAACCCAGAGAGCCCAGCTGGTCTTCCAAACCTAACCAAGGTGAGCCCTCCCCACCCCCACAAAAGAAAAGAAGAGTTGGTTCCTATCTTCTGACTGAATCAGCTAGGATGGCAGAGGAAGCTTTTGTTTTAAGAGAGGAAAAGAGCCTTGCAAACTCCTCAGAACCAACTCTCTGAGTAGAGTGGATGCTCCAGATTTTATTCCCGCCCCGTCACAAAGCCAGGGAAGTCAGGGAGCCTCGCATCCACCAGTGTGACTAAACAGACTGCATGTTTGGAATCCAAGTGTGTGTACAAATGTTTCCACTGATTGTCATTCTGGTCTCTGCATGGTTTAGCTTTGATCATTGTGTAGCCCTCAGCCTGTCTTGAGGAGGAAACAATATAAGCAGATGAAAAGGCACTCTGCACCAAGGGCTCATGGGACTGCTTGTGAAGATCCAGAGTCACGCGGAGTGGAACCCACCTCTTGCCATCAGGGGTTCAACAATACAGATGGGGTTTTTAAAACCTGGGCTCACCCTGGGTCACCCTTGCAGGTAGGAAAAGAAATCATATTTTCACAGCAACAAACAGAATGGGACAGGGCCATTTTTTTTTATATCAAACTGTGGCCATCAGTATTTTTAACTAACCTTTAATAACTGACTTTATTTTGAAAATGACGGTGTAATCAAGGTGGTCCAGAAACCATTTTATTATTCTCAAGGGCAATGGTGCCTCTCCCTCAGGAATGCTGGTTCTGGTGAAAGCGGTGATTTAGGAGGCAAAATGTGAGCTGCACCAGCCGGAGCAGAGTTTCCCAAAGGCCAAGGTGGCCTGTCACGGTCACCTTGTGCTGTCAAAGCACTGAGCAGCCAAAGCCGCGAAGCAAGGTGAGAGGGGAGGGAGCCAACAAGCCAGTGACCTAGCGCTCTAGGCTGTCCAGCCCTGTGCTGTGGTTGAGATGAGGTCGCTCTCCTGTCACCTCCCAAGAAAGCCGAGTCCTAGTGTGGTCTCAGCCTTCTAGGAACAGCGGAGGACTTCCATTGAAAATAATGGAACTCACGTTGGCGTACTTTTGATCCTTAAGAGGCAAGTCTCTTTTGATCCTTGAAGATACTCTCTCAAGCCGGGAGGACAGGTAAAAGGTGGGGAGGAAGGTCTAAAAAGGAGGATGGTCCATTTCATCAAGCCAAGAGGCTGGGCTAGTTGGAAAATCAGGGTAGCCTACACTGCTTCCTGTGGAGAGGTCAGAAGTGGGTCCCCCAGCCATGGCTCTCAGTGTCTGGCTTACTCCCTGCCCTGCGTGCGCAATGATGCCCAGATTACTGTCCACTGTGTAATCCAGCCCATTGAGCAAAGGAGCATGGGATGGCAGGGACGATATGGAGGATGGAGACTGGGGGATTCCGTAGGGGCTCCCATCCCTCAGGTCCTGATAGGATTGTCCTGAACCATCCATGGAGAAGCTCCCATTCATTAACTGTCCGCCTGTAACGTCCCCCACGTTGCCATAAATCCTATTGGTGTGGCCAAGCTCTGAGAGAATTTGATCCTCTGTGGACAAAAGAACGGAGATACATTGTCAGCTGCCAGGACTCTGGTGGTCCCTGCTCTTCACATCCAGCAACACAATGACCAGGAGGGATTGGATGCCCACGGGCAGCAGCTGCCCCCCTGCCAAGCACAGGTCAGACACCAACATGTCAGCCTACCATCCAGAGACCAACCCAGACCAAAGGGAAGACAAGAATCGCCCGCACCGAAATCCGCAGGCCCCACGGGCTGGGAAGTGTCTGGTGAACCCGTCGGTCTTAGAGTGGCTCTGAGATACCCTGGTGACACTGAGCAGTGTGAGGGCCTGGGTTTGGTTGGTCACATTGTCACAATGGAAACTACTGAGAGGGTTTACTCTGAAGGCTTTCAAAGCAAGAAAAAGTCCTCGGTCGGACTGCTTGGGAAACAAGTCTGTGTGATAAAGGTGCTGGCCACGGCTCTTAGACCTCTATATAAAATCCCCATCCACCCCAAAATGGAGTTCAGTATCCAAGAACTCAGTTTCTTTCTATATCAAATAACCTACTTACTGAGGATAAAGAATGACTTGATTAAGGCAAATGGACCTTCTGGTTTCTTGAAGAATTTCATTAAGGGGGATCTAATGAAATTTGCCGAAGGAATTTCTCTCTTCCATAGGAGGGAGCAGGCTTAGTCTTAAGAATTACAGGATCGTCATTACCCAGACAGAACATGTTATACCCAGAGACCCACCACACCCAAGAGAAAAGAGCCACAAAACTAGGTGTGGTGCTCCTGTGTCTTCCAGGTAGGGACTTGAGAAGCTTGCATGAGATAAACTGGTTTCCTCGACCCTGCCAAGATGCCTGGGGAGTGGGCATACATCTCGTTGGCCCTCCTTGGGTCCTAAGCGCTGTGGACTAAGAAGGCTGAGTTTGGGCTCGGCAGACCACTGGGCTGAGGTCAGAGATTTCCTAGCTTTGTGCCCGTGGTAAGTAACTTGTTCCAGAGGCTTCTTTCCCCTTTCTCCCTGGGCCAACACACTGATTCCTCCAAAGGCCACTTGTGACTAGATCTTTCTGATCCCACATTCCACTGAGGAATATAAAAGAGGGAGCATGTGTCATTCAAAGTGAGCAGGAAGGAGAAAACTAGGCTCGCCTCTGCCGTCACCTCCACTGGGCCTTCAGCTGGTACCTGCTGTCCATGATGGTCTCCTATGGGATGACCATGCCCCCCAGTTGTCCTTGGTACACAGGCCTGTTTAGCTTTCCCCAAGCTCATCCACAGTTGGTTATGGTCACTGACACCCGTGATAGCTCTGTGAGGTGGCTAAGGATGTAGCGGTCCCCGTGTATAGACTGGGGCTCTGGCTTTGACAAAGCTACACTAGAAATCAGGTTTCCGATCCTCAGTTCAGGGTTCTTCCCTCTCCCACCCACATAAAAAAGACCTCCTGTATGTGAGGGCTTGGTGACCAAGGACAGTCACGGTTATTTGCAAACAACCTGAGGATCCACTCATGCGGTAATTTGCAGTTTTGCTGATGATGCACAGGTTTGAACAGAGCGCATGCTGCAAAGCTTGTGTGCAGAGGACAGGGTGGAGTGAGTGGCGGGGGAGGGGTTCCGGAACCGCAGCCAATTCCCCGTCATGCACTCACATTATTGCTTTCCCAGGAAAAGGCCTGTTGAGCATGTCCTCCTGCCACCAGGATTGGAGGAGCGGCTTACTCTAGGGGGCCGTGGGAGGAGCTCAGTGTCCCTGCAAAGGGGAGAAGTGCAGGAGGGCTGGGGCGAAGACTGTGGGCTGGTGAGAGCGCCTCTGGGCCAGGACGGGGCTAGGCTGCATCCTGGGGACCCCAGCCCCGGTATCTCAGCAACAGCGTTCTCTTGCTCTCCTCACCCTTTCTGGGAGGGCCACTAACACCCTTCCCACCCTTGACTGAAAGTCTACAAAAACCCTGTGCCCAGGAGGGTGTCATCAGAAAAATCCCATCTGCTGGCAAGGATTGCTGTCCCCCAGGGCCTCGCCTAGGGCCTCAGGCTCGCCCCTCCAGCCCTGCTCACCTTGGAAGCTCAGCTCACTGTCACTAACCCCACAGTCCTCCGCAGAGCTCTCCTTCCCCTGCTTGCTGCCTCCCCGGCTTCTCTTGACGCTCTTGTAGAACTGCCCCCAGCGATGCCGCCCTGCGTCCTTCTTCAGCCGCTTCTCCTTGGCCCTTCTGTTCTGAAACCAAACCTGCCACAAACCACAGGGAACACATTCAGGGCTCACCTCAAGACCCCAGTGCCCCCCCCCCCAAGCACTCAGGAGGTACCTAAAGCCCTGGACCCTCAAGACAAGTGGTTGGAAGCGGATCAAGCACATTGGTAGTATGTCAGAACAAAGTGTGGGGTGCCCATTGTCTCCTCAGCCTGAGCCTCACGCCCCAGGGCACTGGTCCTGAACTCTGCTGTCTCCTCAGCCTGAGCCTCACGCCCCAGGGCACTGGTCCTGAACTCTGCTCGCTGTAGACTCCGTGCCACCCACTCCCGGATAATGTCACTCAAGTCCCCAAGCTTTCCTTAGGTAGAGGGCACGGACCTGCCCCAGGCCTGGATCACTCACCTGTACCACCCTCATGTCCAGGCCTGTCTCGGAGGACAGCTGCTCCCTCACGTGCCGCGCTGGCTTGGGCGAGTTCTTGTAGGCATTCTTTAATGTCTCCAGCTGCTTTGCTGTGATTGTGGTCCGAGGTCGCTTAGCCCCGGCCTCCGAGTCATCTGCAGCGAAGACACCTTGATGGAATTAGTGAAGCTGAAGCAGCTGGACCTCCTCTACCTCCTGCCCCTCTCACCCTTCCCCAGAGACAACCAGGGGCTGAAGCAGCTGGACCTCCTCACCTCCAGCCCCTCTCGCCCTTCCCCAGAGACAACCTGAGGGAGGAAGAGGCAGTGTTGGGAGGAAGTAATCCCCACCCAGGGATGCTGACACTGGCCAGCAGCCTTTCATAAGCCCCACCTTCCCATCTCCCCTCAGCTCTGTCTTCTCCCTCCCTGGTCAGTTTAGCCACACAGAGGCCTGTCACAAACAGAAAATAATTCCCCTCATTTCCCTGTAATGGCAAATACCCTGCTTACTCAAGAGTTGCATCCCGAGTCCTCAAAGAAAGGAGTCAAAAGATAGTCTGTCCAGAACGGCCTCAGGCAACCTGCCCCCTCACCTCTCCTGCGCCTCCAGTTCCACTGACCCACCCTGGGCCTTATTGCCTCTGCCAACCTACCAGGCCTCACAACTGAGGGGGAGCCCGCACTTCACCAGACACCCATATATTTATAAACTGGTGCAAAGCCACCCACCCCCACCCCTCCCATCAAGAAGTCAAAACTCATAGGACAAGTAGAATAAAATATGTATTGTTCTGTGAAGTTTGTTTTGCTTTCCCGGACACACACTTGGTTGAAAGGTAAAATGCGTTTCACACTGTGGGTCGCAGTCAGATTTTCTGAAAAGCACCAATCAGGGCAAACTGCGGTCTGCAAATGTCTTCAGTGGGTTTTGAGTGGTCGGCCTCAAGGGCTTGTTAAAGCTGGTTGTTACGTTTCGGCCGAGTGACATCCTGTGAGGGGAAACAGTTTGTCCCCCAGCTCTTAGACTCGGCTCTGATCAGGGGAAGCCAAGAATAAAGTTGGCAAGAAATAACATGGCCCCCAACTTCTCTGGGCCTTCACATGTGTTTTTGCCTTCCTCCCTACCTTTTCTCCCTTTCTTTTTTTTTTTTAAACTTTTTTTTTTACTTATTTATTTAACTTTATTATGTTTGTTGGTGTGAAGGTGTCAGATCTCATGGAACTGCATTTTCAGACAGTTGTGAGCTGCCATGTGGGTGCTGGGAATCGAACCCGGGTCCTCTGGAAGAGCAGTCAGTGCTCTTAACCGCTGAGCCATCTCTCCAGCCCCTCTCCCTTTCTACTGAAAAAAAAAAAACTCATTTAGGACCAACAATACTGCCCACTGTTTATTCAGTACCTACTGTGTACAGATTTGCTAGAAGCCTTACATGCATTCAGTCCCTGGTTCTTGGAGATACTAGGAGTCAGCACACCGAGTTGGGCCTTCCTGGTGAGTGACTCTGGTGAGCAGGGTCTAAAGCTGGGGAGTAATATGGCCTCCGCATGTGGGGTTCCATGCTCTGGGAATTCAGCACATGCCCACAGGGAAGGGTGAAGGCCTCAGAGAGTCGCTGTCAGGGACCGACAAGGCGCAGGGTCCAGAGTCCCCAGGCAGATCACCACCGGGAAAGCCCCGACATGCCTCACTTTGAATGTTGTAGTGAGGGTTGTGCCCAGGTGTATAGACCTCACAACACAGCGCTATTTGACACAATCTAAACTACACAGGCACAAAATGGTGTGCTTTCGAAATATGCAGATGGCCCTTATGTATAACTCCCAGCTAATGAAACTTGGAGAGGAGTGGAAGCCTTTAGTCCCAGCCACTCTGGAGGCTGAGCTGGAGATCACCTGAGCCCAAGAGTTTGGGGCCAGCCTGGACAACACAAGGAGAATCTCCCACTCAAAAGAAACAAAGTGTGTACAGCGAAGTGTGTGTGTGGCAGGTGAGAGTCCCTAATTTCAGAGCAGGTGGGCCATGTGAGTCAGAAGTCATTCTTCACAGCCATGCCCGTGCTCTGTCACGGCGGTGGGTGGCTGCTCGGTACAGCACCACCGCGTGCCTGCACAATCTCTCTTCACGTGATTATGGGAACTCTCCAGCTGTTATTTTAACATTCGCTGTTATTATAATTTAAAATCTTTTTTATGTCCTATAACAATGTCATCCAAGTGTTCATTAAGTAGTGGTGGCAGGGCTCGTGCTGAGAAATGTCCCCAAAATCAATAACTTTGGTGCGGAAGTTGAGTGTGATAAAAACACTACGAGGAAGGCCAAGCAGGACCATGACACCCCGGGCTGTTAATTTAGGAGAGAGCATTCAGCGAGGTGCAGGAGATAATGCTGAGAAAATAAAAAAAGTAACATTAAGGCGAAACACACTTTGGTTATGGATTGGCATGCCTGCAGAATACACCCCCACAACACACACTTATAATATTAATTCCCGTGGAAAATTGGCCTTAACATATGTTCATTTTGAGATATGCAGTGTCTCCTAAAACTTTCCTGGCATAAAATGCAGCATCGCTATATTGAAAATGGAAATATCTAAGGAGGGGAGATGAACGGACAGAGTAAGTCCCACCAAGGGGCAAATGGCCAATATTAGACCCCTTGTTTAGCTCAAGGGAGGGAATTATGAGCTTGGAAGAAGGCTTAGAGAGGCAAGAAGGGATGGAAACTTAAAACAGCCAAACATACTACAGCAGACAAATGTCCCCAACCATGTCGAGGGTCCCTGGGATTGCACAGAAGGGAAAGGACACCTAGGGGACAAGCACAGAAGCCTTCAGCTGCTTTAGCCCATCTCACCTCCTGTCTGCATCTCTCTCCACTAGCACTTGCTCTTGTTTAGTGTTCCCTTTCATGGGCATCATCCTAGTCAGCCTCCAGAAACAGCAGTGTGGCAAGGCTTCCTCGGCTTGCCAGAGAAGCTCCCGATCTGTAAGCCGTGCACCCAGCCTTGGGTGCCAAGACCAGGGCTTTCCGTTGTCCTACAAGAGGCTGCGGTAGGACAAACTTCTCCCATGAGATGACAAGCCCTGCAATATCATTTTTGCCTCCCCCTTGACATTACTACTAGCTGCCCTCGTCTCTGGAATTATCCACAGCCCCAGGAGATTCTGGGCTGTGTACACACAAGGTCAGCATGATGTCTTTGACAATAAGAGTCAGCACAGGCCCGGGAGAGGCACGGCTTTGGTGAAGGTCTGGTAAGGTTCAGTTCTAAATTGTCTTGGTATCACTAAGTCCACCTGTGCTGACGCGTTCCTGTGACGCCCTGATGGATTCCAAAGCAACAGCATAGAGTTTTAAGGGACTAGAGCAATGGTTCTCAACATGTGTGGGTCGCCTCAGACCATTGGAAAACACAAATACTTACATTATGATTCGTAACAGTAGCAAAATTATAGTTATAAAGTAGCAGTGAAAATAATGTCATGGTTGGGGGTCACCACAGCGTGAGGGATTGCATTAAAAGAATACAGCATTAGGAAGGCTGAGAACCTCTAAAGCTGAGTGAATGAGCTCACCAAGGCAGAGGTTTGAACAGCATCTACAGAGGTCTCTGGTCCTTGGAGGAAGAAGGTCAACATCCTTGGTTCACTAGTAAAGGTCAGAGCTAGGAGTCCCCAAGAGAGATGAGGCCCCTATCCCATCATGCCACAGGCCAAAGCCAAGGTTGGCCCAGTTAACTCACCACGGGGCCCTGAAGAATTGCCTCAGCCTGCTCCCCACCACAGAAAATCTAATTTTTCTCAGTTGGACAGTGGTGATGGCGCACGCCTTTAATCCGAGCACTCAGGAGGCAGAGGCAGGCAGATCTCTGTGAGTTTCAGGGCAGCCTGTTCAAAAGAGCTAGTTCCAGGATAAGCTCCAAAGCTACAGAGAAATCTTATCTCGAAAAAAAAAATCTTTTTCCATATATTAATCAGATCCAGATAAGATGGGTAAATGAACTAGAAAGAAATACATGAAGTTGTTTGTCTATGTGTTTGCTTCCATCAAATCCAGACCCATCAACGGAGCTGCCTTCCACAGAAATATCTGAGTTGATAAAAATGCCAGTCAAGGACAAAGGACCCTCATGTTCTAGGAGTTGTGGCCTAAGAGTCTTAGGTTGGGTTTGGTCAAACTCAGATGCAGGACATTATACCCTTGCCCTATTGCCAGAGCTGTGACTGAGAAACCAAGAGGGGGTGCTTCGGGAAAGTGAGTCAGGACTGACCTTCCTGAGGGGCATATGGGGAACACACTGGCCTGAGCCCCATGCTGAGAGAAAAGCCTCTGCTCTGTGAGGCGATGACAGGGAGGGCAAGAGCAGCAGCTTCTCTGGCTGCCCAGCTGAGGCCAGGTTCCCAGGAAACATCAAGGGGTGACATCAGCCTGTACGGAGCTGCAAGTCTCCACCTCAGCATGTGCTGTGACCTGGGGTACGGTAAGGGCCACCACACTGGGTTTTGTTTTGGTTTTTGGTTTTTTTGAGACAGCGTTTCTCTGTAGCTTTGATGCCTATCCTGGAACTAGCTCTTGTAGACCAGGCTGGCCTCGAACTCACAGAGATCCTCCTGCCTCTGCCTCCCGAGTGCTGGGATTAAAGGCGTGCTGCTGCCGTCTTACTGTTGAATCTCCCTAAGCATGGCTCCTCCCAGTCATTGATCTGACTATGGACAAACTCCAGCTTCAGGGCTTCAGGCACTCAAGGGTCAGTTCCTCTGAGCCCAGAGTCTGAGGAGAGACAGGAGACAACGGAAAACAGGCCAACTCTGCAAGTCCTGTGGCTCTTGCTTCTGCAGCTTGTAAAGCATAGGACGACGAGAAAGTGTGCACCTCAAAGGTCAGCCAAGCTCACCAGCCATGCTCCAGGCAGAGATGACTGAGTTCACTACTTGGTAAGGGCCTCGGCCGCTCTCAGTAACACAGCTTAATTTAATGCTTCACGGAGCCAGCAAGGTCTAAGGGTTTGGGGGTGTCAGAACTAACTCTCACTGTGGAGCCCTGGTTACAGTTCTCAGGGGAGGCTGAGGGTTGGACAGGAGGGACCCTGAGAGACAGGCACCTCAGCGAGCAGCGCACAGCCTTCAAGGTGCTGGAGGGGCACGCACAGGGCCGCGCTGCTCACGCTGCTCACCGTTTTGCTTGGCTGTCTCATAGTCTTCCTTGCACACCAGCCGCCCGTCCTCCATCAGGTAGAACTCGTCCCCCGTGGCCAGCTGCCGGTTGCAGATGATGCAGGCAAAGCAGTGCAGGTGATAAACGAAGTCCTGGGCTTTGCGGACCACCTGGGTTGGGGGGATGCCCTGCTGGCAGGCTGTGCATTTTGTGCCGAAGCGCCTGTCAGGACGGCAATAGAGAAGTAAAAACAAAGGGGTCGTGGTTGCAGTCTCTACCGTTTACCAGCCCTCTCCTGTCCCACCGCCCCAGCATCCAAGGAGCACCAAAGCTTACAGCACTCTGGGCCTACTGATGGCTTCGTTGCTCTGTGCCCAGGGTGCCAGCACAGCAGGCAAAGGGATTAGATCAGAGCTAGAGTCTCAGTTCCCATCCCACCACTAACATCCCAGGGATCCACAGAGGCGGAGGGCGGGGCTTCTAAGTGCCCCTCAGAATAGGAAGTCACCCTTCACCTCCCACTTTTCTCATCTTTGTGGTGCTTTCCAAAAGACCAGCCTGGCAGGGAACCCTGTGTGACCACTCAGTCCAGCACACACAACCTTCATACACAGTTTCCCATAGGAGGGGGCCAAGCGCAGCCAGTTGGGGGACAGCGTATGCCCGCATCCACACGGGCACTCAGGAGAAAACAGAGTCATCAAAGTGAGGCTCTCCTAAAGACTTCTTCTTCTTCCTTCTGAGGCCCCCAAAACACACACACGCATGCATGCACACATGCATGCATGCACGCACGCATATCGAGCACACAGGAAAACCCAAAGCTCACACAGCCTGAGATGTCACCTCCCAGGAAGCCACACTGCCAAACCCTTCCTATAATCTCCAGTAAGGAATCTGCAGATCTTTGGCAAAACCTGCTTTCAACAACTTTTTGTTGTACCCCTTTCTGGACTGGCCCCAAGGCAAGAGGAAGCCAACCACTGCGCCCTTTACGAGGGCTCGCAAGGAAGGAGAAATAGATACATGGTCTTGAAGCCCATCTCCCCATCCCAGGCTAAGAGGCCCACGGAGCCATTGCAGTGACCCAGAAGCAAGAGAGAAACACTAGAGCTGGGCAGCTGAGGGGGCGGTTGGCCACAGGTAATTCTTCCCGGTCTGGAAGGAAAGAAGGAGGGAGGCAGGAGGGGATGGGAAGCTGGGGCAGAGTTTAAAACAGCAATCAACCTAATTATTCATGACACTTCACACAGCAGAACTTTATCTTCTTCAGGATGAGAGACTTCGCCTAATGGATCGGGGGAAGGTTTGATTTTAATGGTCCTTTTAACTAATGCTTATAGGCAGCCTGATTTCCCCTGAAAGGACAGTACATATTTCATCCACATTAATACCAAATAAATTAATTATGGTCATGGCTATCATGATGAATCCCAGATTAATGCAGAATGATGGGTCTCTTATGCAGCAAGGATACCTGCTGAGGGGGCTGCACGGGCCCGCAACAGGCATAGACAGCTGTGGCTTCCACGGCACCCCACCAGGGACATAGTGTCCTGGAGAGAAGTGGGGGGTCTCCACATCAAGAGTAGCTTTGCAAAGGCCAGTAGTGTGGTAGGGAGACTGCAAAGGGCTGGGTACGAGGGACAGAGGTCTGCCTCTTAGTTTAGAGAAAGCTAGCCCCTTACATGTAGCACCCCCAAAATGGTCAGCATCCTGCCTCAGAGGGACCTGGGCTTTTGTCAGATTTTCAAAGAATTGCAGAATCTAGAAGAGCAGTTCCTCTTTGCTGAATAACAAAATCAGAGAATGTTCACAGAGGGCTGGACTTGAGTGTGGAGAGCACAGTGCCAGGTCCGCACCAGCCTCAACCGTCCAGAATGTGGGTGATGCCCAGGCTCCCTCCACAAGCAGCGAAGCTGCAGCGGCTCCTGGTTTAAAGGGAGAGGCAGGACAGTTATATCCTGTGTGTGCAAATGCCTGTGTGTCCCTGTGTGCACGGGAGTGGGGCAGGGAGGCAGACAGGTTGAAAGCTTTTCCCATCCACCCCCGCTAATGAACAATGTCCCCCCACGCTCGCCACAAACCCTTCCATGAAGTTCCAGAAGGAATGGGAGAGTGCACCCACGCCTGTGGATGAAGATGCTGGAGCAGAAGCCTCTCCAGGGAAGATGTCTCTAAGGCCAAGCCTTCCCAGGAGAAGAGGGCTGAGGGGAGACCCCAGAGCAGAGCAAGAGAGAAGGACCATAGCAGCCTCTCCCAAGAGAAAGCCGCTTCCCCTGGCCTCTAAAGAACAGACAGGCTTTCAGTAGCCAGAAGCCCAACTGATGCGAGCAAGAGACGTGAAAGATAACGCGGGATAAATTTAATCTCATCCCGACAGTGATTCATGCCCAAGGGTGCAAGTGCACAAGGAAAATGAAAAATAAATGGACTTGCCCACTAGCGTTTTTTTTCCAGCCATTGGAGCAATTTTCCTGATTGTGGGATTTATACCAGTGGTAAGTGGAAGCTGCCCCTGGCTACCTTTTTCTCCTGAAGTACGGCCAACAGGATCCTTGCCAGGGGCACTCTGTGCACTGCCTGGGTCCTGGAGCTCTCCTGGCCTGTCCTAGCCCCAAGGAGCGTTCCAGTCACAGCCAGTGGCCCCGGAATAAGTGCCCTAGGGTGGGGTAGGTTGTGTGCGATGAAGACAATGGTCTCGAGTGTGCAGTCTCAGACCAGCCAAAGTCACAGGTGAGGAAACCGTGGTAGGTGACACCACTCTCGTCACGTCAGCCATAATACAACACACGGCCATGTTTAAAATCGCTGCAAGCACAGCTGCTACAGAGAGTCAACGGGCTGAACAGTAGTCTGGCCAGTTTTGAAGGGTGCTGGGGTGAAGGAGGAGGTGGACACTAGCTAGGGAGCATGGCTTCTGGGGGACTCTCCAGGCAGCACTTCCTCATTGTGGTCAAGTCTCTACTGTATGTAGGCACTGCGCACTCCACAAATCCTGCACCCTGGCCTCACTCTCTATAAGACCCTTCCTGCCAGCCGTGCCCAACTAAGCCTCCTAGGATGGCCACTTTCCCAAAGACAGCAGCTAGAGCTCATACAAAGTGAGCACAGAATCAGCTTCACTTGGGGACAGAGAGCGTGCCTACCGTTCCCAAGACCCTAGGCTGAAATAGTGACCCAGAGATAAGTGAATGCAAGGGAAGGACGTGCTGATGCCTCCCCACCTGTCTGTCCTTATCCTCGCCCAGCACGTAGCAGGGGAGCAACAAGACCTGCAGACCAGATGAATGGATGAGCGAATGAACGAATGAACTCCTGAAAGGTGCCCAAGTAGCCAGGGAGGAGCGGCTCCCAAGAGCAGAATGGTTCCCATCAAAAGCTTTCCTAGCGAGGACACAGCGTTCCACGGTGAAACACGAAACGTGAAACTTATCATCCGCTGTCATTGGCATCACCTTCATCTCACAGACGGCTCCAGAGTGGCCAAGCTGAAAAGTGGGTATTGTGATGCCTTGTAACAAATAGGAAACTGAGGCACAGAGAGGTAGCATGCCGGCTCCCGCTCACACCAACAGTGAAGGAGAGAATGAGAATTTGAACTCAGCACTTCCAAAGCCACACAGGTTGCACACAGCTGGCAGCAAAGGCAGCAGACACAGACTTGGTGTCTGGGATGGCTTGATCTGGCTTGGCTACGTGATTGATTGAGAGACACCTAGGAGATTAGTGCAGCTCACTCTGGCTGTGTCTGTGAGGGTGCTTCCAGAGAGGACTAACTAAATGGGGGTGGGGGAGAACCTGCCCTAATGTAGGTGGCTCTCTCCTATTGGCTGGGGTCCAGGGTGGAATAAAAGGAGAAAGGCTGGAATGCGGGTGATTGCTCCATCTCTCTTCTCTGCCTCCTGATCAACACAACGCCAGCTGTTCCTCCGTGCCTTCTACATCATGACACAGCCAGCCAAAGCAGACCTTTCCACCCTCGAGATTTTCTTCTCTCTGGTATTCGTCACAGCAACAGAAGACTAACACAGTACCCCTGACCAAAGCCCAGCCTGAGTGCAGGACCTCATGCCCCTCCCACGTCCCCAGCAGCTCCTGCGCAGTACAATCCCCACCTCATCCTCACACTTCCATCAGCCAGGGGCTGCTGTGGTAGCCTTCACCCCAAAGTGTGTTCACCCATCACACAACTCAGGGGCTAAGGAAGGGACAAAGACATCATAACCATCTCTCAGGGCTACCAATGACCCCAGGAAGAGCCAGGCCTTCTGTCCTAGTGCTTCACCTGAGTTCCTGTCTCTATCTGTCTACCCCTCTGACCTTGATGGGCCTGGCTGGGGCACTCGTCACAGTGTCTGGATCCTCCGGAGAGACATCAGTGGGCAGTCCTGCAGACTCAGAACTTCTAGATCTAGGGTCACAAAAGTCCTACACTACAGGCACCCCACACTTGGACAGTTTTAAATGCTATCACCTGACCAGATCCACACAGACATCAGTCAGCGCCCCCATTCACCAAGCTCCTGCTGTGTATCCTGCGTGGCAGAGCCTGTGAACCCACGAGCCACCGTTCCTCACAACCAGACCCTCAACTCAGGACGCTCTTCTCTTCCCACTCACTGCCAGCCCAGCACCCCCTACTCAACCCTTGGTCACTACAGCTCTTGGCTCAGCATCTAGACCAGGGCCTTTAGTGACGTCACCACGCAAAACCTCCTGTTCTGCCTGTTTAGCACTTGATCTCCTCCTGAAGGTCTCAGCCTTCACCCGTCCTCAGCTGCTGGTTCTGATAGTCTACCCAAGACCTTGTCCCAGTCACCCCACTGTGGGATGCCAGACCCCTGTCCGCTAGGCACTCTTTCAAGAGGGCACTCTAGCACTGACTCTGGGACACAATGCCTTCATTGTCCCTGCCTCTGCCTCTCAGGTCACAGCCCTGTGACCTCAGTAAGACTCCCTTCCCTCATGCCCTCTGACTTTCCTGACTTCTCTCTACCTTCACCTTTCCCCCAAGTGCAGGGGTCTGAGCAGAGCTGAGGAAAAATGCACTGCCTCACTGCGTAGACTTCCTTTAATCATGGGGTCCAAGAGGACCCCAGAAATCAACACAGGCCCAGTTCCTGATCTTCCGAAGAGGAGCCCTAGACACACGTATTACCCCAACCATGTATTACCTCAATCCATTCTCCCACAGTACCATGAGATTTCCCCAGTCCTGG